AGCAGGAGCTAGAGCGGGAGGTGAAGCAGGTGAGGGAGTGGGAGCGGAATCGGGAGCTGATGCGGCAGCAGGAACTCGTGCGGCAGCAGATGCTGGAGCTGGAGCGGGAGCTGCTGGAGCTAAGGGGGGAGATTTTAGTGTCTTCTGAGTCGATCAAGGAGTTTGGCAATAAGGCGTTTGAGGTTGGCGTTTGGATAAACATTCCTAAAGGTTTTCAAGATCTCGTTTATAAAATAAACAGAGATATTCTCATTTGCATGTCACCACAAAGAAAATGGATCATCGAGGCTGATAGTTTTCTGAAGATGTGTGTTTTGTCAAGAGGACAACAAGAAAAACATTCTTGTAATGATGATAAGCCAGAACATAAAATCAGCGAAGTCGTGCGATTTACCTTTACGAATGATGATCTCTATTTTGTTTATTGGTCTGTACGTTCACTGCACGCCTTATCTCTGCAGACAGGCACAATTTTCACGAGTGTGTCGGGATGTAACCTTTTCTACTTCACAAGAGAAAGGCAGGTTGGTTATTTGTTTTCGTAGTGGTACCGAAGAAAGATCCATATTTTTGTCAAATTTATTTAGTCCTTTCAAGTTTATTCCAATGTCGTCGGTTGAACCATCAGTAGTAACAAAATCCATTGCCGCCGTGTTCCGTTCAAGTGATACCGTTATATCTATAAGTTCTGACTCGATGGTTACATTTTGTCAAACTACTGAAGATAAAGAAGGCATCGCCTTTATTTCTCAGTCCTTATTAACAACGACTGATCCACAGGTGCTCCATGTGAATAATTGTATGTTCTCCCCAGACGGCAAACTAATGGCCATTCACCAAGGTACTAAGGTACAGATGTACAGTTTTTGCAGAATCTGGATTGAAGAAGTTCCTTTACACTGTATTTGAAGCAGAATGTGAGCTGTTGGTGGCGTGCTTTACATTTTCAGCTGATAGCACCTCACTTCTCTTGTGTATACAGGATAGCGGAAATGATCAACATTTCTATGTGTGGGATATTCAAGAGAAAGTTATGTCAGCCTCTTTTAAATCACCAGCATTTTTGACTGTGGAATGTTGTTGTTGCCTTTCATCGAGTACACCAGAGCTTATCTTGTGCGGTGAGTACGCGATTGAGATCTGGGAGTACACTAAACCTTCCTGCCGCTTATTGACAAGACGTGCAGTCGAAAGGCCTTACAACTCTGTCACGTTCAGTCAGTGCATTATTTCATTAGATAATCAGCTTCTAGTGTGCTGCATCGCAAACAGAATTCTGGTCTACAGTCGCCATGATCCCGATGTCAATTCATCCAAGCGAGTTCTCCGCGGCCATCTTGGTAGAATTGAATTTTGTCGGTTTTTGAAAGTAAATCGTTATCTTATTTCCTATGGTGTTGATGGTATGGTTTTCCTGTGGGACATAAACGAGTCTAAAGCTGCTGGATTCGCAACAATTGCACAAGGGAATGAAAGCATTGTAAGCATGGCCGTGTCCCCTGAAGAAGACAAAGTCGTTTGTTTTACATCCTCTGGTCGATTGTGCACAATAAAACTCTGTGGGCTGGGCTCTGCGCTGTCTTTTAGACCTTTGGCATCTTTGGCGGCACCGATGAAAGACAAAATTGAGACATCTGAGACAAGTCTACAATTGCCAGAGCAAATCGCTTCAACATCTCAGATTGAGACGTCACCCGTTGAGCATGACACGACCGAGTCATTAAGCAGTTCTGACTCTGAAGAATATTACTTAGAAGATTTGGACGAATCCGACTAAATACTTCATTCACTGAACGAAACTGCCCTAACCTCTAATAAAGGTGACTGAATTCATAATGAATTGAATTCAGTCACCTGGGCGGATACATGAAGGGGTGCGCTAGGTCGATTGCCGCTTTTCGAGAAAATGAGCCCGCGCTCCAGAGGATCGATGACTAGAATTGAGAGAGTGAGCCTAGGGGTGCGCGAGGTCGATGTGTTCAATCAAACCTCCTATATACTAAGGCCGTTACAAGCGAAACCTAACGTTTCTGTAGATTATGGCATGCATTTGTCTTGACGCAACGAAGCAGCAAAATTTGAAGCGCGAAATTCAGTGGGTGACGAGAAAAAGGCATAAAATAGAATGTGATTTTGTATAGGCATTTTTTACCGAAATTCAACACTGTCTCCTTTACTGTTTCTATTTTCAAAGGTAGTCAATGCAAACTTTAGACCAATTAAACAACTGCAAACAGGCCGTCAAAAAGCTGGTGTTAGTATTTTCGACAAACGATTTAATTTGCTAAAGGACTTGAAGCATATTTCTGATACCCAAAAGATATAATATGACCACGAAGCTAGTGTCTTTAACGAACATTTGCTCTTTACGGCGCAGGGTGCATTGATCTAATCAAATGAATGTTTGAGTTATAATCCAGCAGTTCCATATATATATACACAGTCGAAGCTCCCGTAAGCGGACACCCTCAGGAACAAGAAGCAGAAAAGTGTCCGCTACTGGAGCTGGCCACTCACGGGAATGTGTAAATACAGAGTTTGTATGAGCTAGATAGAGTTCAAACGGGGTTAGAAACTGAAAAGTAGAAATCAGGTGTCAAAGGCGCCGACGCACAAAGCATAAAGAACTCAGACTCAGGACATGTATGTTGGTGACCCGGTGAAGATCTTAACATCAATCTCTCCCTGGACTTCAACTCTGTTTTAAAAACTCCAAACTTTTAAGTTAAAACAATCATCTTTTTTATGTTTGTAGTTAACCCTTTCAGTCCCAGGCTCTCTTGATAACACTTTCAGTCCCAGGCTCAAAGATTCAATTCTCCTGACCGGTTACGAATACATTTGTTTTAACTTAGTTGATGAGAATTTGTTGTTACATCCATAGTTAATAGAGGGAAATGGTTATGAAGCCCGGCAAACTTCAAAGGAGCAAACAAAGAGGACAAGATTTATGTTGGAAGGTCCACGACCGTGCACATCTTTTGTTTTGCGCTCATACAGTATGCATCAATTACGTAATCGTAACGTTTCTATTGGTTAGTTGCTTGAACACACGTAGCCACCTATTGTATTTTGTCAGGTTTTGTGCACGGTCAACACCCAAAATAGCGAACAAAAAGATATAACAAAGAACTTTTCCGGGCTTCATAACCATTTCCCTCTATTAACTATGTTACATCAAAGCCATACTGTTCCCAGTTGATGATTTTCTTTACTCTCCTCACCTGTCTGCTTGTGAATGTATTGATATTGTAAGGAGAAATTAGATGTTGGAAAGAGTTACTTACGTATAAGAATTGAGATTGACTATTTAAAATACATTGTAATCAAAATATGCAAATGCAGTTTAGTATGTTATGAGTTTAAGCCCCGATCAAACGGTATCCACCTTTGTCTCAACATTCTCTCAACATTTTGAGAGTCGATGTTGAAGCCGTTTGACATCCCCATGTTGAGAAGACTTTGATTTCGTTTAAACTTTGTCTCAAAATCACAAACATCTTCTTCAACATTTCTTGTGTTCTCTACATGTTGAAGCCGTTTGATACGGCATGGTCTCAACATCTCTCAACATGACTCAACACATGTTGAGACAAATATATGTTGAGACCGTTTGATCGGGGCTTTAGTTTTATTAGAGCATTTAATCAATAGCAGAGATAAATCGTGGATTGTTTTCTAATTTTTTTAAAAATATAAATGTATAGTGTATAAGTTGTTATTAGAGTGATTTTACTTGAACCATGAAATAGTTACTACACTATTTCTTTTGTTTATTTTTCACTATTTAGCACTAACTGTTAGGTGTTGTTTCACAGTTTAAATAAAATCACTCTATCAGCGTTGGCTAAATACTAAAGTTTATAGAATACGGTTTTTGGAAAGAAGTTCAGTGATAAATGCATATTGTTAAGTAAATACAAGAGAGGATGTCATCTAAGAGAAGCATTTCCCATACATGGGTCTCTTCCAATGATAATTGTTTGAAATCTGTTTTTAATTTTCAGTCCATAGCTGAGCTATATTAAGAGCGCGTTCGAATAACGTGATGTCGGATCCTCAATCAGGAGGAAATAAAAATAACTTTCCCAGCATGACGCGAAACTATTAATAGATTTCAAAAATTATCTTGGGACACGGTGAATCCTTCCCTTAGATCATCATCTCTTGGTAAATTACATTAGGTTACCATTTCTACGGGATGACAATCTTAGAGTAGAATTGGCACAGAGATATATATATTTTTATAGGCGATCACAGTTAAATCAATATATTTTTCTATACCTTATATCAATGTAATAAGAAACATTGTGAACGAAGATTAATATTAGGTGTAGTATAGGTATAAACTACCGATGTTTCGGTTAACTGAGATAAATCTAAAATGCTTCAACAGGAGTTTCTTTTATCTCCTTAAGTTGTTTCATAAGTACAAATATTACTGAGTTATTTTAGTCATATTTTTAGGGATCAAGATTGGAAACTTTCATGTTGTATGTTCTTTTATAATTAAGGTATTGCTAAGTAATTAAACGATTGTATTAGGCCCGGGTCGCATTTTGGAACTAGTTTTGTAACTTTTGGTGGATGTCATCAACTTAAGCTTCAATTATATATAGCTAGTGCGACCTACGCGTTTCAAGTAGGTTGGATACAACAATAATTGAATTGTTTTAGACAAATGGTTAGATACAACATTAATTGAATATTTTTTTAGACGAAGGGTTAGGTACAACATTAATTGATTTGTTTTAGACAAAGGGTTAGATACAACATTATTTGAATTGTTTTAGACAAAGGGTTAGATACAACATTAATTGAATTGTTGATAAAATAAGTAACTAAACAGTCGTGTGTTTCTGATTGTATATGTAGTACATTACAATGAATAAAATTGTAACATTCATTCCGTAAACAAATTTATTCTAATTAACATTGACCTGGGCGCGAAAGGTAGATGTTTATCACTATGGCAATGTATGTTTGTGTGGGTTGCTGGAGACGCGGTGACATAATGGTTAGCGCGTTGGACTCTGGATCGAGCGTTCCAGGATCGAGCCTTGGCCGGGGTCACTGTGTTGTGTTCTTGGGCAGATACTTAACTCCCATTGTGCCTCTTTCCACCTAGAGCCTGGTTGTTCAAAGGATGGATAACGCTATCCGCCGGATAAATCGCTATCCAACGGTTAGCGTAATTTGTTTCGTTAACACTTATCCACTGAATAGCACCGTTCATCCGCTGGATAGCGTTATCCACCCTTTGATGAAATGGAGCCAGGAGTATAAGTGGGTACCGGCGAATTGTCAAGGCAAATTGACAAAAAAAAATGGAGGGCTACCTTCGATGGACTGGCATCGATACCATCCAGGAGAATAGTACTTTATTATACATGCAAGTCGTAGTCTCGTGGAATTGGGTATGTTATCCGCATGGGTCTCTCCCATTGGCACAGCGGTATTATATTAACCGCTCCCTTGAATGAATATCGCATTTCGAAGTCTTTCGACGGCAAAACACCACAACTACAGCTCAAAGATCGCGACCCACCATCCCACCCTTTGCAAACTGTGTTCGGTGCTCCCGCTCCTCCAGCGACACTTAGTTCATGACTGCGCCGGAGTGTTGCTCTCCATATCTTAACCCAAGAACAATGACGGCAGGAAGAATATAGTACTATTCAAATGACTTTGAATAGCGATACTCCGAGCTAGTCGCTTCATGCTATCAGTGGAAACCGGAGTTAAGCGAGGCCTATATAACTAACACTGCATTGGTAATTAATAACTTTAATGAAAGAGAATGAGATCTCTCCAACGGGATTCGAACCCATGATCTTGCCTTACAGAATCCCGATCGATGACAAGGCTGCACAGGTGACGATACAGGGGGTGGATTGGGTAGCTAGCCACCTCCTAAATCCGCCTAAAAATAGCAACCCATTAAAATAGAAAATAAATACAAGCACACTGAACAGACAGGTGTCAAAATTGTTGTTATTTTAGCTAAAATAAAATAGTAATACAAATTATTTGCTGACAGACACCCCCGGTCCTGTTGAAATCCTGGATCCTCCCTTCCTGCGCTATGGACGTTTTTACCTTGGAAAGAAGAATTCATGATTGTTTTCTGTTGTCGATTGCTTGTTAGGATGGTTGACGCATTTGTTGATGGATTTCAGCCATTGAGCTGATTCTTTGGTTCTTTGGTTCTATCGTGACATAGCTCCTTTAAAAAGATCGGCTGAACCACAAAATTATCTGATGAGGCTTTTAATAATAAAATCACCATGCATATATACAAGTAAAAATGTACGACTCAAAGTAGCGGTTAAGTTCATTAGATTATCTTCAAAGTGAAAAACACCAAACTCTCAAACAACTTTCAACGATCGCGGATCCAAAAGGGAAGATTAGCTGATTCCAAGTTTTGATTCAGGATTTATTTTTTTAACTCTGGGTGAGAATTCTAAATGCAGACTTTGATTTGCTGCGTGATAATATTAATCAATCAATTCCAATTGGTATATCTTCGTCTTCCAATGCTTAATTACTTGGGTTCTAAATAGTTTCTGTGCTCATTAATGGTTTCTCGACAAATCTTCCATGTTCTCTGACACATCATTTACTGGAATATATTCTGTTTTTTCTAATGCTTCATTCTTAACCAACTACTTTCTGCGTTCTCAAATTCTTTATTGCATGGAATAGTTTTTGTGTCCTCCAACGCTTGATTGCTTAGTCTCCACTGCCCTGCAATCCTTGATTTCCAGGAATTGTCTCACTGTCCTGTAATTCTTGATTTCTGGAATAGTTTCACTGTTCTTCAATTCTTGATTTCCAGGAATAGTTTCACTGAACTGCAATTTTTTATTTCCAGGAATTGTCTCACTGTCCTGCAATTCTTCATTTCCTGGAATTGTCTCACTGTCCTGTAATTCTTGATTTCCTGGAATAGCTTCTATGTTCTCGAATGCTTGATTGCCTGGAATAGTTTCTGTGTTGTGTAACTTTTTATTACTTTGAATAGTTTCGCTGTTCTCCAACTCTTGATTGCTTGGACTCGTTTTGCTGCCCTCTAAGACTTGAGTACTTGGAATAGCTGTGTTCTCCATTTCTTGATTGTCTGGAATGGTTTCACTACTCATCTTCAATTCTTCATTGGTTGGAATAATTTTGTTGTCTTTCAATTCTTGATTATTTGGAACACTTTTGTTTAACTTTAACTCTTGATTGCTTGGAATAGTTTTTTCATTTTTCAATCCTTTATTGTGAATATTTTCTTTGTCTTCCTTCTCTTTTTTCGCTCTCTTTTTCTTTTGACTCCTACATGAATATACGAAAGTTTCGTTAATTAATCTAAATTGTACTTCATGATACCACATGCAATAATTGAACGTAATATATCAAACACGAGAGAGCGTGTTTCATCCAATTTCCAAACACCGAGATGAAAGTTGAAAATACGATGCGTAGTGGAATATTTTTGATGAAATTCTAGGTGTCTGGAAATCGGATGAAACACTTGTTTCCTATATCTTCTCAATGGAAACAAAAATTAAGGAAACTAAGGAGTAATGCTTATTAATACTAGATATCCAAACCACCGTCGGCACGGTTATGATTTCCTTTGTTTTAACGTAATGAATTATTAATGAGTTTGAGAAATCACTAGAAAAGCCAGTCTTTCGGGACCTAATCCAAAAAGCATGGTTAGAAATTTTAAGTGTTTAACCTGGTCATAATAGAAATTTCTTCACAAAGTTTATTTCTTTGATTTGAAATAGGGCGAGAGCTTATCAGCTGAACACGTTTGGAAAACGACGTGAATGTTGGTAGAAACACGACGAGAAATAAATTATTCAGTCAGTGACACAAGCTAAAAATATTCCGAGTTCTCCCAACAGGAGTCGAACCTATGACCTTCCACTCACTGGTCGGACACTGTACCACTGAGCTACAGGAGACTCGTGGGAGCTACGTACACAACGTAGGTCATATACACCTATTTCAATTAACGTTGTCGGATAGAAATGTGTTTAAAAGCCCGCAAGACAAGACCGAAAGGTAGCATGGGTAAAAGTATGAAACTGCTGCACGCACCGAATACTAATGAGAATAACATGAAAAACATTATTTATAACGTTTTCTTTTTGTTTTAAACCTGTAAAAGTAAGCTACTTTTAGCCAAACTAATTTTTAGCAGAATCAGCTAGTGTAAAAACATGGAAAAACAAATTAGACACATTATATAATTCGGGGCAAACCAAATACTTCACGTGCGAAATAAAAACGTGTAGATTTCTTTTCCAGCGATATGCAAATTCCAATGAATACCCAGACTACCGCTTGGTCTTGTCTTGTAGGCTTCGCGCTTTTATCCGATTTTTATCCGACAACGTTAATTGAAATAGGTGTATATCTAGGTTCAAATGTCACAAACATACTGCTAGGATCAGTCAGTTTTGTCGATATATGAGACATGTATGGACATGAGCTGAGAAAAGAAAAGAGCTTTATGCAATAAAAAAAGTAACTGAGCAACAGCCAATCAGAGACCTCCCCGGGTCAGAGACACTACAGTTACGTCATCATGTACCAACCTGTAAAAGAACATTCCCAAGCCATTAAATAATATCATCAAGGCAGACATGACGGCCAGTTTTTTGTAAGGTGCTTCATTGGAGTACACTGCTCGCCGTATCATCTTTGTTGGTGTTTTGCGCGGGATGGCAATTCTTTTGTTAGTGTGTTGTTTGATCAAAGGAGGAGTAACTTCACCGTCCGTCGTCTCTGTTTTTTCTGAAAGAGTATGAGCAGTAAGTGTAGTTGTGTCACCTTTTTTTTATCATATACAGTCGAAGCGAACACCCTCGGTAAGCAGAAAAAGTGTCTGCAACTGGAGCTGGCCGCTTATGGCAATGTGTAAATACAGAGTTTGTATGAGCTAGAGTTCAAACGGGGTGTTGTCAAGGTGGCCGTAAGTAGAGCTGCCTGCTTACCAGAGTGTCCACCCAGAGAGCTTCGACTGTAATGTGAAATTGTTGGCGGCGCGGTGGCTTAATGGTGAGTGCGTGGTAGTAGGAATTGGGTGGTCCTGGGTCGAGCCCTGGCTGGGGTCTTTGACAGGCACTTTACTCTCACCGTACTTCTTTCCACCCAACCCCGCAGGTTGTTCAAATGATGGATGATGCTGTCCATCGGATAAATCACTATCCACTGGATAGCGAGTTACAACCGGGACCAGGACCCTGTTGTTCAATGTTTTGTTAACAGCTATCCAGTGGATAGCGATTTATCCGGTGGATAGCGTTAATCACCCTTTGAACAACTGGACCAGGAGTATAAATGGTTACCGACCAGAAGCCATTTTCGAGTTTTCTTTCACCTCTGTTTCAAAACAAGTCCAGATGCAAAACCTTTCATATGAAAATAAGTTTTACTATCAAGTTCATTTTCATGCAAATCCAACTCCTTTTCATTTGGATTGGTTTCGCACAATGACTCGGTATGAAGCGGAGGCCAAAGACAATGGAAATGATCTATTGTTGGGGCAACCAAACTGGGGTGGTGTGGGCCACTCTGTGAGGCACTCTGGTCCGAGTGAAGATTTGAAATTTGTGAAACATTTTTTTTTATTGTCCTTTGAACTTAAATGCCCTTGACACCAACTGAACATGTTTTAGAAATAGAACTGGGTTGAAAACATATTGTACGCATAGTCCTCAACAATTGCTTATTATAATATACTCGCCACAGGATATTGCAATTTTGGACAATCTGATTGGTTCCCTACTCGAGGCATATGAGGCAATGTACCATTACTACCTTATTTGGGAAGCCCGCTAATTACGAGTTTGGGGCACGTGCACGTATGCAAAGTCATGTTTTTCAAAGTAATAGAAATCCCATTTTTCCCCTGTTTCCTCGTTCTTTCCCCGGTAATTTAATTGCAATATCCTGTGGTGAGTATATTATAAAACAATTATTCCACGAAATCGCCTCATAGCCAACGAGGCACGTATTGTACAGCTCGCAGTTATCAGCTGTGTTGCATACCACTTATGTATACAGTC